TATATATCAAATCAAATTAATATAACCAATTTCAACTTAATTTTCTATGTTCTATGAGTTTTAACTCGATATAAGTCAATTTAATATAATTTAAGTTGAAATAACTTGTACAGCCAATTTGATCATATTTAAATATTTGAGGCAGCAACTGAACTTTTTAAGTGGAAGTGGAAATGTTTTACAGTGTATGATCATGTGACATATTTCTGAGTGAAACAGAACATTGAGTATAATTAAGGACACAACCTGATTTTATCTAGTGGGATTAATATGATCTTCTCCATCCACATGCCCTTGGTAACATCAGCAGAAGGGAAAAGTCGTCAGGCCAAAAACAAAAAAAACAAAAAAAAAATCACCTGTATCCATGATCCTTGTAGTCTTTGGTGGAGTATACCATCGAGCTGGCCTTCACACTAATCTGCTGGAACAAGTTCCAAACTTCCTGATAAATGTATTGCTGTGGGAGACAAACAGATTGGAGATATTAGCACCAGCAGGCCGATCAAAACAATCCCTATAACAGAAGACAGAAGTGCTGCGTACGTTTCCTGTGATGACCATACAGCCCAGCTGATCTATGATGAGAACGTCGAGCCGGGACGGCGGCTGGCAGAACTTCTGCTGCAGGATCTGTAGGATGGGCTCCATCACGCGGGGAGTGTCTCTCAGAGCCACGGCGATGTGCCCTAATGCTTGTATGGTGTGATCGGGGATGAGGTGGGCGTCCCTGATGGAGAGGGGCACAAATAACATTTTAGAGATTCCTTTAAAAATAACAGAATGTCTAATTTTCTTAAATTCCACTTGAATAAGACTGAAACGCTTTGAACTATTTAATGACCAATAAAAATTTATTTTGGATTAAGATGGAATTTATCGTCAGATTTCAATAACATACTTGTCATTTTCCTGCGAGATGTAAAGACGGTTGGAAAGACTGGCGAGGAAAGCCTCAACGATGACTGAGTCCATGCACAACCCTGCTTTTAAACACCTGGAACAACAACAACAAAAAATAAAATAAAAAAATACTTATTAATGACTAGTAACTTAGAACTGTGGTTAACTATATGAAAAACTGCAAAGTCATACTATAGACTGTCAAAGTACAAGTTATAGTCTGAATCCCAGTTCACATACTTCTACTAAGTCCTTGAAATATTTACTGCCATGATGAGAGTTTTGGGTCGGTAAGATTTCTTAATGTTTCTGAAATAAGACTTTTTTGCTCACCAAGGCTGCATTTATTTGATCAAAAATACAGTAAAAACAGCAATATTGTGAAATATTATTACAATTTAAAATAACTATTTTCTATGCGAATAGAATTTAAAATGAAATGTATATCTGTAATGCAAAGCTGAATTTCCAGTATCATTCTTCAGTGTCACATGATCCTTCAGAAATCATTCTAATATGCTGGTTTGCTGCTCAAGACATACTTTTAACATACTATGAATTGGAACGCACAACTTCTAAGCTCACATACTGTACAGGACAGATATTATGAAAATTATGCATAGGAACATTCACCTGAAAACTTTTCCACCCGCATAAATGAGGTTTACCTGCATATATTGTCAATGGAAATGTCTCGGAGCTGCTCATACATGGACGGCTGGCTCTTCTTACTGGAGTGAGAACTGAAGGTGGACTGGGAATGTTCATTGGTCACATTGATCTTGATCTCTCCTGTTCCTGCTTAGAGGGAAATGGAGTTGAACTACTCGCCCTGATTCAAATGTTTTTACTTCTTAAAGTAAAAGTTCACCCAAAAATGAAAAACTGCAGAAAATGTACTCATTCTCAAGCCATCCAAGATGTAGATGAGTTTGTTTCTTCATCAGATTTGGAGAAATGTAGCATTGCGTCACTTGCTCACCAGTGGATCCTCTGCAGTGAATGGGTGCCGTCAGAATGAGAGTCCAAACAGCTGATAAAAACATCACAATAATCCACAAGTAATCCACACCACTCCAGTCCATCAGTTAATGTCTTGTGAAGCCAAAAGCTGCATGTTTGTAAGAAACAAATCCATCAAGATGTTTTTAACTACAAACTATTGCTTCCGGCTAAAATACGTAAATACATAATCCATAATATTGCTTTCTCAATTGAAAAAATTGTCTCGTGTGAATCAGGAGAGAAATCTGCACAGATCAAACACCGTTTACAAGCGAAACAGTCATATTTTGTTGGATTTTGTTGTAAGAGAACAACAGAGAATGGACTTTTTCCACTGGAGGAAGCGTTATTATGGATTATGGGGTCATATTTTAGCTGGAAGTAACAGTTTAACGTTAAAAAGCCGTAATGATAGATTTGTTTCTTACAAACACACAGCTTTTGGCTTCACCAGACATGAATTGATGGACTGGAGTGGTGTGGATTACTTGTGGATTATTGTGATGTGTTTATCAGCTGTTTGGACTCTCATTCTGACGGCACCCATTCACTGCAGAGGATCCATTGCTGAGCAAGTGATGCAATGCTACATTTCTCCAAATCTGATGAAGAAACAAACTCATCTACATCTTGGATGGCCTAAGCATGAGTAAATATTCAGAAATATACATTTTTGGGTGAACTGTTCTGTGTTTTGATATACGGTGATACAAGCAGCATAGATCTAGATATCAAAGCTATCAAGGGGAGGTTCTCACCTGTGTTGTATTGACTGTGGTACTTGTAGAGCTTCACTAGTACAGGTGAAGGGACCACTAGGAAATCTCTTAGAGACATGGTGACTGAATGAGCCACCACAGGGAAACGCTCACACAGCCGTCCGAGACCCTGTTTCGTGAAACATCGTAAATGTTGTATTTTACCTCTAAATGCTCAAAATGAACCATTTCAGTGCACTGTGAGAGGGTCAGAACTCAGGACGCACCTGTAAGCAGCAGATGAGCAGAGGCATGTGAGCAATGATGACCTTACTGGACGTCTTGGACTGCAGCTTCTCGGAGAGTTTTGTGCAGAGGTTTTCCGCACCTGGCCGAAACAACCCGATAAATGAACAGTTAGAGAAGTCACATGGCACATACATGAGACACGTAATACCAGAATCCTCTCTCAGTCTCACCCTGCTCCTCCGTGACGGCCCACACCATGAGGTCCACGCAGGCAGCGTTGGCCTGGCAGCGCAGTTTGAGCGGGTTCAGCTCGCTGTGCAGATACTCCACGTCATGCAGGATCCTCTGCAGCTCAGACTGACTGCTGCTGAACTGCTCCAGAACAAAATCATGGACCTCCTTCACGAACGACACCTGCAGGTCTGCGCACATAAACAATCACATAAACACTAACAGCAGCAAGAAATACTTAAACCTTTACAGTTATTGACAGCCGTAAGTCTCAGGTATGTTGAATATTTGTGTGAAATTCAGTGGCTTAACCTGATTTGGCTAATATATAGAAAAATATATTTTCTTTTTTCTTTTTATCTATTTTCCCTAAACGTTCTATTCCAGTTATCTAAACATTTAAATCCCTTTTCTACTATACATTTAAATATTTTGATTTTATTTGTAATAAACTGTAATTTGATTTTATTTATTTGCTGTTATAATATTAAATATAATTGATCAATCATAAGGATAATAGCACAAAAATATTATATAATTTTTTTTTAATACATTTTAGTTTTAGTTTATATGACAATTTATTGTTGTATTTATTTCTCATTAATTGTTATAATAATACATATAATAGATTAAGAATGATAAAATTATTATTATTATTAATATTAATAATAATAATAAGTAAACAACAAGTATTTGGTTTTATTTGTAATAAATTATATAATTTTATTTAAAATTGTGATTTATTATAAACATAGTAGATTAATAATAACAATAATAGCAAAAAAATATTAGATTTTTAATTTATTAATAAATTGTAATTTTATTTATTTGTGTAATATATATATATATAATAACCATAACGGATATATTTATATAATGGATCATAAATATAAATATTATAAATATAAATAACAAATTAATTACATTTAAATACATATTTTTATAATAGATAACAAATATAACAGATAGTGATATCATAGTACTATCAACAATAATAAATATGAATAACAATAGGAAAAAAAATATTATTTGATTTTATTTGCAATAAATTGTAATTTTATTTTATTTTGTGATTTATTTTAATAAAAATAGATTAATTACAATAATAATAATAAAACAAAACATATTAGATTTTTTATTTGTAATAAATTGTAATTTAATTTATCTCTAGGTATCAGTCAAATTTTCGTTTTTTTTTTATCTCACATGTATATATAATTAAGTTAAATGATTTAACAGCTTAAATTAATTTAACTGCTTAAAAGAACACTTTTTAAATGTTTTAAAAATTAAATGTATACATTACATACTATTTACAATTTACCTTTCATGTAGTATAAAGTGTCCCTCAGCATTTTAAAGATGGCCACATACAGCGGATCACTGAATGTCTTGTAGTACAGATTCACTGAAGCATTGACCTGTAACAGAGAAAGCAAATGTCCCGAAATCAGCAGATTCTCTTTTGATCAGAACAAAGCAGAAGCATCCAAATCAAAGCAGATACCTCCAGGACTTCAACCATAGTCTGATCCAGTGTCTTCATAAAGGATTCTGACACAAACTGCTCGACCTATCCGACACGGGAAAAACTAAAATGTTAAAAGAGTGAACAAAAATATATCACATAATATACTACAGCAGCTAAAAGCATTACAGACACTGACCATTTGCAGAAGCTGTGTCAGTAAATCCAGTGGTGCATCAAACCCTTTACTGTTGCTGCCCGTGAAGAGCGGTGAGACGGAGAAACTGGAGCTTATGGTGGAGAAGTAGTAGTCGGGGTCCACAGCGCTGCCATCCGGCAGATACGAGCCAGCTGGAACACAAAAACAAAACCACGTTAATACCCAGCAAACCTAGACAGCATTTCTGGGCATCAAAGGCTTGTCCAAACATGTCATCCGCACTAAAAATACTGTCTAAGTAGGCAAAACTAATAGTAAAAACTAGATTCTTTTTAAAATGACCTTCAAAATAAAACAATTACATAGTCTATAATATATATTATATAATTATATATTTTAATTGTATACACTACCAGTCAAATGTTTCGACTAATTACAATTTTGTATGTTTTTGAAAGTCTCTTCTGCTCAATAAGACTGCATTTATTTGATTAAAAAAAAAAGTAATATTATGAAATATTATTGTGATTTAAAATAACTCTTTTCTATTTGAATATATTTTAAAATGTAATTTATACCTGTGATGCAAAGCTGAATTTTACTCCAGTCTTCAGTGTCACAAGATCCTTCAGAAATCATTATTATATGCTGATATGCTGTTCAATTTATTATCAATTATTATTGATAATTATTATTATTAATTAAATAATTCATTATAATTAATATAAATATATTCAAATAACAAATGCTATTTTAAATTGTAATAATATTTCACAATATTATTGTTTTTACTGTATTTTTGATCAACAAATGCAGTCTTGGTGAGCAGAAGAGACTTCTCTCAAAAACTTTTGTACAGTTGTGTTATTAATCATAAAATTTAAAATTACCTTCAAAATAAGGAGCAGAAGGGTCAGAAGGAGAACTCGGAGGAAGTCCAGCACGTTCTGGACTGGCCTAGAAAACAAAAAGAGATCATTATTAACAAAATCACAATTTCAACAAATGCTAAATCATATAATCTAGTACTTTATATGATGTTATATTTTTTTGTATTGTGATCTCACGTGTGTGTGTGTGTGTGTGTGTGTGTGTGTTTGTATATTGGTTATGTGTTTTAAATAACAACTGCTTCAAAGAACTTACATTATTTTTTATAAATACTATTCTTCTCATAAAAACATTTCCTATCAAAAGTATGTTTGTGATACTCTAGAGTATTTTTTTCATGTTTTTAATCACAGGACACTGGCTGACATGGGTGTCTGTAAGACTTTTTAGGACCTTTTAAAGATCAAGTAAACACAATTTAAGCAATAAATAGAAGGGGACACAAAAAAATTCATCAAAATGAAGTGAGTTTATGATTAAAACTAGAACAAATATCTGCCAGTGGGGTCAGAAAAAAATCCCTTATCAAAGGGGAAGCAAGTTTATTTTTTGGCCTCACTGACAGATACTTGTTCTTGTTTTAAGCATAAACTCAATTTTTTAATTTCTCAGAAAACGAGACTTCATATCTTCACTTTTTATCTTTATTTATGAATGTTTGTACTGTAAAACAAGACAAGAATACGGAGGAAAACATACATTTTTGTTCAGTGCATGCAACATTTAATACCATGACTTCATGAAATTACGACTTTCTGCTCTGGTTTAAGACATTTTAGGTCTCAATTTGTGGATGGGCAAATTAAGACTTTTTAAATTGCACAGAAACCCTGTACTTCTGATCACTGCACTCTCATTTTAAAGGTCCCATGGCATGAAAATTTCACTTTATGAGGTTTTTTAACATTAATATGAGTTCCCCTAGCCTGCCTATGGTCCCCCAGTGGCTAGAAATGGCGATAGGTGTAAACCGAGCCCTGGGTATCCTGCTTTGCCTTTGAGAAAATGAAAGCTCAGATGGCCCAATCTGGAATCTTCCCTTTATGTTGTCATACGGGGAAAGGTTACCTCCCCTTTCTCTGCTTTGCCCGCCCAGAGAATTTGGCCCGCCCATGAGAAAATGAGCTACTACCGTGCGAGGCGAGCGCAATATTTTTTTTTCCTTGAGAGACATCATGGCTTGCAAACGAGCGAAGCATGGCAGTTGCCCCGCCTCTCTCCTCCTCATTAGCATTTAAAGCTACAGACACAGAAATGGCACGTCCTAAGGAAAGCTCATTGTGGGACTGGCTCGTAGTGGCTGAAATTCTGCACCAAGGCTGAATTTCGGGAAAGAGACTTCAGATACAGTACTAGGGACCACTTAGGCCTATATAAAAGCATCCAAAAAGCAGCATGTCATGGGACCTTTAAAGATGCGGCCGCCCTCTGCTGGCTGAAGGAGAAAATGCATCAGGTACCTGTTGCGAGATGCTGGAAATGCTGCTGGTTTTATGGCGTAAAGTGTCGCTCTGGCAGACGGTGAGGAGCGAGCTGGGTAGAATGGAGCGGAAATCATTAAAGGATCGTCGTCGGGTCACTTCCTCCCCGTCTCCTGTGCCCAAGGGCTGAGGACTGACCCGAGGGAAGAGTTTAGACAGCAGCGGCTCCTCTGTGTTGCTGTAGCGGCCAAACGCTCGCACCAAGCCGAGCAGACAGGGCACAGTGTATTTACACAGGTATTCTGGGGAGGAAAATCAGAAGAGAGTATTTTTATTCCACACTGAATAACAACAAAAGACATTTAAATTCAATGTGAAATCAAAATTGACTATTTCTTTATTCATTTCAATTTATTTTGAATGAATGTATCTTGTCATATTGTGCTTATTCTAAAGAAAAAAAACAATTACATATTCTATAATATATATCATATAATTATATATTTGAATTGTATACACTGCCAGTCAAATGTTTCGACTAATTACAATTTTTAATGTTTTTGTAAGTCTCTTCTGCTCAACAAGACTGCATTTATTTGATTTAAAAAAAAAAAAAGAGTAATATTATGAAATATTATTGTGATTTAAAATAACTCTTTTCTGAGTAATATTATGAAATATTGTTGTGATTTAAAATAACTCTTTTCTATTTGAATATATTTTAAAATGTAATGATGCAAAGCTGAATTTTACTCGTCTTCAGTGTCACAAGATCCTTCAGAAATCATTATAAAATGCTGATATGCTGTTCAATTTATTATCGATAATTATTATTATTAATTAAATAATTAATTAGAATTCATATAAATATATTCAAATAAAAAAATGCTATTTTAAATTGTAATAATATTTCACAATATTAGTTTTTACTGTATTTTTGATCAACAAATTCAGTCTTGGTGAGCAGAAGAGACTTTTTTGTAAAACTTTTGTACAGTTGTGTTATTAATCATAAAATATTAACCAATAAATCACAGCTGATGTTTCATGATCTAATCAAACCCAGATGAATAAAATAAATGCTCTGTCTCACATTATGAAAGTTACGAATTTCACATGAACTCCTAAAAATAAAGTAAGATTCTGTATAGCACCTTACTGACCTTTATCTTGGCCTTCGATGTTCTGACACATTTCCTGAAGCACCTGCATGAGGTTCATCACAGCCTCCAAAATCTGAAAGATATTTGAGAGGAAACTAAATACATCAGTGCTGCTCTTTTCCCTGTAGACCTCAGTCAGGGTAGAGACACGGCATCATTTATGTGACATGAATGAAAATGAAGCTGTGAGAGACACTGTATTGTTGTATTCCGCTCAGCTAGTGACATAATAGAAACGAATAAACTTGTTATCTTCTCTACATGTGATCCTTTGTTAAGTGGTGAGAGATTATGCTTCTCTTTTGAAATACAATAGGACAGCAAATCTAAAAATAATAATCAGAGAAACACTGACAGAATCAAGGAACTACACACTTCTGACAACGATCCTGGTTGAGAATAGAAAAGCAGATTCATTCAGATTAGCAAAGCAAACCACAGCAAGCAAAGTCATCATGAACACACCTGGATTCGCATGGACTCGTCCATTTGAGCAACGTCTGAGAGCATCGTCACCAAGCAGAAGGAGAAATTCTCCGCAATGGGAAGCGTTTCTGAAAACACAAGGATGAGAGACATGTAAGATCAGGAACAACTGAGAATGAAATGAGGAAATGTGATAAAAAGGCAGAATTTTTATACCTCGTCCTTTCCTCTCTGAGCTCTCCTCGATCCATTGCACCCTGGGTAATCCCTTCAGCAAAACCAACAAGTACGGGACAATTGTGTCCTTATGCTGGAGGAGTACATAAACATACAATTCAGGACTACAGACCATCATTGCTCATGAACACAATGAATTAATTCACTTTGATTAATATAACGCCATACTAATACTATATTAAACATGTCCCACTACGTCTCACTTTAAAGGAATAGTCCACCCAAAAATGAAAATTTTTGGAAATGAATTTTTTCTCACCCTCAGGCCATCCAAGATGTAGATGAGTTTGTTTCTTCAAGAGAACAGATATGTAGAAATTTAGCATTGCATCACTTGCTCACCAATGGATGCTCTGCAGTGAATGGGTGCCGTCAGAATGAGAGTCCAAACAGCTGATAAAAACATCACAATAATCCACAAGTAATCCACACCACTCCAGTCCATCAGTTAATGTCTTGTGAAGCCCAAAGCTGTGTGTGTGTTTGTAAGAAATGAATCCATCAGGACGTTTTAAATTCAAACTGTCGCTTCTGACTAAAATACAAGTCCTCTATCCATCATATCACTGTTTATAGTGAAAAAGCATCTGGTCTGAATCAGGAGAGAAATCTGCACAGATCAAGCACCATTTACAAGCCAAAACAAATATGTGGGTGGATTTTGATTTGACAGAAAGCATTATTATGGATTATGGACTCATATTTTAGCCAATAGCAACAGTTTAAAGTGAAAACACTTTAATTTGTTTCTTACAAACACACAGCTTTTGTCTTCTCCAGATGTTAACTGATGGACTGGAGTGGTGTGGATTACTTGTTTCTCCAAATCTGATGAAGAAACAAACTCAACTACATCCTGGATGGCCTGAGGGAGGGTATATTTACAGGAATTTTTCATTTTTGGATGAATTATTCCTTTAATCAATGAAGCTGAGGAGTGTGACTGTGTTAAAACCAGTACCTGCAGCTCAGACTCCACCAGGAAGATGCCGAGGGCGATCACAGCATCTCTCCTCCGCTCATCCAGCTGGAAAACACCACGGATGTCCACAGGACACATGCATTGTAGCTTCTGGACCTATATTACACAAATATGCAATTGTTTTTAAATGTGCCATCTCAATCATGCAGAAGCAGAAAGAACCAGT